AATATTGAGAGGGAACTAACTGAGAGGATATTTTACGATCCAAAGAAATCTGAGTATGAAAAATTCCCGTTCGGTCTAACTTTGCGCCCTGAAGTCGAACTTTCGGTTATTGTTCCCGCTTTTAATGAGTCACAAAGACGTAAAGTTGCTTACGTCCACACAAATATGTTTTGATATAGTTCCCAAGATGATGGAGGAGGCTCTTGCCTATTTAACATCACGTATGGTGGCTCAACCGAAATTCTCCTTTGAAATCATTGTTGTTGATGATGGGAGCATCGATGATACCTACCAGGTCTGCCAATACCTTGGTTTTGATCCCTTTTTAGGTTGCATTATCGTACTCTGAGAAGTATACCGTCAATGTCGTACGTGTATTGAGGCTTGCGCGAAATCGGGGGAAGGGTGCTGCAGTGCGCACTGTAAATCCTTCAAAGTTTGCTAATTTTTTAAAATACCATTCTTAGATGAGGTTTATTATAGGGTATGCTTTCCGCTCGGGGCAAGTTTCTGCTGTTTGCTGATGCAGATGGTGCTACGCGCTTTCGGGACATTGAAAAACTCGAAAAGCAAATGGCATTTATGATAGCATCAAAATGGGTACATAATTAAGCTTGGTTTTTAGGCGTGCTGAGTTTCAAATTGCTGGCCTTGATGTTCTGTTTAGGATGGGCGAATGGCAGTTATCTGTGGTTCTCGGGCTCACTTACAATCAGAGGCAACTGCTAAAAGAAGTCCGCTGCGTAATCTTCTAATGTATGGTTTTCATTTTGCGGTGTGGCTGTTATGCGTTCGTGGCGTTAGAGACACCCAATGCGGTTTCAAACTATTTAGCCGTCGAGTAGCTCGTCTTCTTTTTATGAACCAACACGTCGAACGTTGGGCGTTCGATGTGGACCTTCTCTACCTTGCCCGACATCTCTCTGTTGAAATATGTGAGGTCCCGGTCAATTGGCATGAAGTCGACGGTACGAATAAGTAGTATTTGTCACACTCCTGCCCATGATTGTGCAAGATACATGAACTCTCATCAGCCTTCCTCACCAATTGTTTTGCGCAATTGAGGCAGTTTGCACCGTCGACCTCACGTTGATCTAATTTAAAATCTAGGTTCAAAAATCGTTCCAGTATTCTCATGGATGCAAATGGCTAGGGATTTACTTCTCATACGCTTACGCTACGGTCTCGGAGCGTGGAAAATTGAACAGTCGCACCACCTCGAGTGACTGCACCTAACTCCGGCCCTTTATTATTGCGATACCCTATACAATTTGCAACATTTTAACGCTTCGCATGTACTACCTTTTTATGTTGTAGCTTGTCAGTAATCGTTTTCGCTACCTTGTGTCTTAAGTTTTTATCAGGTTCTCGAGGTATTGCCGTATTCACAGTTCCATGATGCTTTTTGATATCAGAAAATATGCATTATTTATTTCGACACAGGGCTGTTTTGCACCACTTACATGAGGCGCATTTATTCAATTTAAAGTAAATCACCAAATCCCAAAAAGGAAACAGGCAAATTGGATACGGGTTTTGCTTAGTAAGCGTCGAGAAACAAACTATTCGGTCATCTAGTGCTTACACAAAGCGGGTGTGAGTACTGTACTCGCAATATGGGAGGGGTTCAGATCATGCAGCACCAGATATCTTGAGCGAGGGGATGTGGGGCCGTCTATTCATCTTTTGGGACGAAAATCTCATTGTCCTCAAGGAATTTGGCACCGGTTTTACTTATGTACGCCCCGATGAAGAGTAGCGGCGCGACAACGCAAACCACTTTCAAAGGCCCAAAACTTGTTTGAAACGGTGGATCAGATATAGCACCAGTTGATCTGTAGACTCCATCTCCACAGAGATAATAGTGGTTACGATTCATTCTAGATCTGGTTAAAAGTTGGAAGAAATTAAAACCCCTCCAAAACATTTGACATGCAATGTGTAGGTACGGGGTAATGGTGAGTTTG